GGGGGGGGGGGGTGATTCTCACTCAGCGTGTTATACTACCAGCTTCATGCACACGGACTTTTGAGTGCAAATACGGATCGCGTTGTAGATTACAGCAGTCGTAATGGATGATCATATATGCTTCCGCTTCGCACCAGTGTCTGATAAGTATGCACTTTAGACCTTTCAGTCTGGTTTTCCAGGAAGAGATGACGACAGAACGCATCTGCTACCTAGGCGTTGTCAACAGAACGAGCAAATACGTCGAATTCCGGAAACATAGATGGACTACAATCGCCAGATTACGGCTCATTCTAATAGAAGGGATTACAGTGTCCTAAGCACGATTATAATAGCTATCTTATTACCAAGCCACCTCGGCCGAACCGTCCGCGCTCGATGCAGGCTCTGGAGACGGCGTTCGGACAACGAGCTTCGCTTTTTTCTTCGTTTTCGACGTCTTCGGATCAGGCTGAGGCGGATTCTTCCAGTTCAACTGCTTATTTTTACCGGTGCCGGCTTTCATCCACTTGACGAAGTTTTTCATAGACGGCGGCGGTTCGTTCAAGGACCAGTTGGCTTCCTTCTTCTGGTCTTGGTGGCAGAAGAATGTCGGCGGCGCCTCGTCTGGGCTCCAGCCCGAACAGTCAAACGGTCCAGTGACGTCGGTTCTCCACCGGTTCACGCGCGTCTGGGAGGGCATCCGCTGCTCCGCGAGGTCGCGCTTGCCCTCGCGTTGCTCTCGGTCGCGCCAGCGCACGGCGAAGAAGGTGTCCGACGTCTTCTTGTACGTGCCGGACTCCGCGTCGAACGCCATGAACTTGTACCAGCCCTCGAAGAGCTCGCCGGTGAGTGCGCCGTGGCGGTCGTTTGCAGGCAACGCGTACGCCCACACGCGACGCATCTTGAGGATGCCCTCGCCGCACGTGAGGCGCGACTCACCTTTGCGTTCCCCGTCGTCCTCGGTGTGCGCGGGCGGGAGCCGCAGACGCGCCCACAGACCGTGTTCCCAGCGGTGCTCGGGCTGTGAATCCTGGACTTCCCAGCCACGGCGATGCGTCTTGCGGTAGCCCACGCGTGTGTGCACCGGGAAGTGTACGGGTCCGACGTGCCCTCCCGTGACCTCGACGCCGGCGTACAGGAGCGCATGCAGAGTGGGCGGGACGCGCGAGTTCTCGTCGACAGCGAGGCCGAAGCGTCCACGGATTCCAACGCCGACGCCGTCTACAGGTGCGGTGTCCCGCGCGCCCTCTGCGAGTACGGCGTGCCCGTCAAGCCAGCGGAGCCCGCTGTTGTCGATGGTCCACATGAGATGAGCGTGTATGTGCTCGTAGGCGCTCTCGAGCTTATCCGCGTCAGGGGGGATGGCTTCAAGAGGAATTTTAGGGTAGTTGCAGTCTTCTCGGTTTCTCCAGGCATTGAGGGCGGCCTTGGGCATGTATGCATCGCGTAGAGGTTTGACGGCGCAGTCATATCCAAGGAGGAGCCCCAGGTTGTCCGGCGAAGCAAACCAGAAGTGACCGGTGAAGTCGAGCGGGGGCAGTGCCGCGTCTGGGGTTGGCGTGAGCGTGCTTGGCGTTGGTACGTCTGAGACCGGGCCGTTATACGGCGGTATAAGGATGGATTGCAGCGCGAGACGTGGAAGACCGAGGTACGCGGGGTGTTCGTAGTCCATGCTGCGCTTGCTGCGTATCCCATAGACGTCCCTGCGCAATGTCTTCACGACAAGGTTCTGCGGTACCAGGACGTTCGTTACAGAGACTGTGAATTCAAAATGGCCGACAAAGAGTTCGCGAAGGCGAGGGCCGTCCTCGCAATCCATGTCTTCGTGCTGCCAGATTTTGCGGAGCTTGATGCCGCCTTCGCCAAGGATCACCACCTGGTCATTGGTGCATAGCTGGTCGCTTTTCGCAACGAAACGCAATTTCGCAACGTAGCCGTTGTCGATGAACCACTCGTAGAGCGGCGGGGTGCGAAATGCTGCAGGCTCGACGCGGCCGTGTATAACGATGAGAGGCACGCTATCAGTATCCCATGCACCCTGGGACCACGGCAGGATGGTTTCCTCGGGGTTTTCAACGCCACACGTGCGGAGCATGTCCTTGATGTTGCCAACAGATAGTGGCGAGCCCGAGAGTACGCCGACCATAGGAACGTTGTCTGACGCCGTATCCAGCGCCTCTTCCGGCGAGAGAAGGTCGGTGTCCCACCCAAGGGACAGGCGCATTGTGTCAAGTGCATCTTCACCCTCGAGTGACCATTGTAGGACATCTAAATCGTCTAGCACCGTGTTGCCCGGGTCTATCGTGAAGAGGTCAAACGTACCATGCCAGCTGGTTGGCAGGTGCTCGCATTTGATGATGCCATATTGCATGGGCAACGAGCGGCGGATGGCGGTTTTGTGCTTGGGTGCAACGCGCGGTGGCATGCGTTCAAGCTCGGGGCCACTCGCGTCCAGTTCTACCGCGAACGGGTCGTACCTCCGTGCCCACGGGTCATAACCCTGAGGCATCCACCTCCGCTCCCACCGCACCATGCCAGTGAAGGGATCCCCGAAGCGACAGATTACGAATTGCCCGCCATTGTTGTCTTCGTCGTCTTCGCCTGTGGCGTGTTAGGCAGCTGTCTTTGGAGCGCATATGCGGGGCGGATACACGACGTACATGATGAGGGCTCAGATTCTTGCGCAGAATTCCGTACCGAACGCTCTTGCCGGACGAGCTTCTCAGGATTATGACGCGTGCCTTTCGGTGCGTTCTTCGGGGCCTTCTTCCTGGTCTTTGCGACCTTGGCCGGGGCTTTCGTGACTCTGCGCTTTTTCTTCGGAGGTTCTTGCACGTCGGCTCGTAGCACGGGCTGCTCGCCCCTAATTCGCTTTGTGGCCGCAACTGCACAGAGAGAGGTTATGCGCGATGCTGTAGGAGGGTGGCGTAAACGCACCTGCTGCCTTCCTTTTCGGCGCCATAACAGTGCTCGTATCGAGATCTCGTTGAATCCAAGGAGATTGTGCAGGAGGTACGATTGTAAAAGTGTGTAAGAGAGATGTATGACAGAAGGTATGTGGTCAAGATGAGGCTCGTGAGGAAGTGAGGCCACTCAAGTCGGGTCGCCACTCCGATGGCGCGGGATGGCACAAGCACTTGCATTCGCCTTATTTAGGCGACTCATTGTTCTTCTTCTATTGACTTCAATAAAAAGCGCATTTGTTTCACGTTATCACGAGAGCCTCCGTACATGACAATGGGCGCACGACATACGCATAGCCTTGAACGGCTGATCTTCAAGCGCCGCTGGCCCCCACGTCAGCAACGCCGTCCTGGTGTATGCAATTCTTGTTATTTGTCGTACAATAATTGTGCAAAGCCAGACTGAAAAGCTAGCTATAGTGGGTCGACTGTAGTAAGGTGGTCATATTGGCAGAAAGCAAGTAGGCGACGGCCACTGCGGTTTTCCATTGACAAGCGCCGTTCCTATTATCACGTGACCATACAGCGACGCGACTCGGAATGTCTTGTACGAAGTAAGTACGCGTCTTATCACGGATTTACATGAAACATATGTTGGATTTATGTCGTGATACTCACTCTGGCATGTCAGACGAGATTTGAGCCTGGAAAGAGGTCGTTGGTGCAATACGATAGTGTAGCAGGGTATACGGATGCTACTATAGTCTATCGCAGAGACTAGTCGAAGAACCACTTTCAATATATGATGAACCTTATATATCAAGCGTACTATAACACGTCGTGCCAAGAAATCTGTATTCTGACCCTCACACGATATAATGCCTTGAAATTTCCACGAAACCTCCTGCAACTAAACAGCGACCTGTCCGACTCCAGTCGCAATACCATCGACCTCATCCTCGACCTCATCGTCGAGCACGATCTCGACATATCGTCTGGATCTCGGCGGAGGCACCACCAGCCCCGCCAAAGAGGCCAGAATAGCGTCGGACTGCATGCCTTCTCTTATATGGCGTCGTACGTGGTCGGTCGCCTGCCACCAGAAAGCCTTGACACGGCTGTCGTGCGGGTCGTACAGTAGCGACGTCGCGTTTGGGAAGCTGCGCGCGATGAATAAGGCTGCGCGCTCTCGGTTCTGGAGAGATGAGGAGCCGAGGTCGACCATGCTGATGCGCTGCAGCGCGGGATCCACGGGCGCATCGATGTCCAGCGGCTCGCCGTCATCGTGCACGCGCAGGCCGAGCTGGGTGAGATACGGCATCGTGCGGACAATGTCAGGTAGGGTGGAAAGTGGGAAGAGCGTCGCGGTGTCGGCGTTGTCTTGGCCGAGATGCAGCCAGTTCAGGCGTGGCCAGGCGGCGGTGAAGACGTGCAGGTCTGCGCGGGATATGTCCATGTAGATTGCTTCGAGCGAGAGCTCTTTGACAGGGAGCTCCAGGAGTGGTGCAAGGTCATGTATGCCGAACGGTGGTTCGCCAGCGCGCGAGGGTGCCATGATGACCATCCCTAAGGAGACGAGACTCGGCCGGAAGGCAGCGAGTGCGGCAAAGAACGCCCTAATACTCGCATGTGAGATGTCGCCGTTGCCAGCAACTGTAATGGGGAGATGTTGCAGCGGGCACAGTGGCTGGAGGTGTCGCAGGAGTGTAGTGAAGTCCTTGAGTGCGAGATCACCGTCCGAGGGATCTGAATCCTCTTGTTTGATGTTGTGGTACGTGAGCTTGAGGCAGCGTAGGGACGGGAAGGGCGCGACAGGGAGCTCCTGACACATTGTGTTGCAGTCTATGGACGTGTCCAAGAAAAGCTGGAGCCATTCGAGGCGCGGAAGACTCGCGAGGAAGACCACATCGTAGGCGTCTAGTTTTATGTTCGCGCTGGCGGCAGTTGGGTTATCATCCAGCTGCAACGCGGTCAGAGTGTTCCTGCACGGACTCTTCTCGAGGTTCGCGAAGACATATTCGAACCGGAAGTGTGCACAGTTCTCGGAGAACACCAGTCTGCGAAGGGTTGGAGAAAAGAAGAGTGTGAGGTGAGACATGTCGTAAAGGTTGGGGTGATTGCAGCAGAGGACACGAAGGGCGGGCAAGGCGGGAGAATGGCCGAAGAACTTGTGCAGGATCTGAAAACACGAGTCATCAACGTAAGATCCTACGTGATCGGGGCGCCATGGGTTCCAGTCGCGCGGCCGGCCTCCGAGCATGCGCGATAGCTGCACATCCATTGATGGCCGTTTATCGAATGCCTTCTGGGGCGTGAGACTGTTCAGCACGCGGACGCGGCGCGCGTGGTGCGCAAACCGCGTCACGTCGCTCTCGCTAAGTGTCTCCTTGGTGAATGTCTGCGACAATAGATGCATGTCAGGCCAGGTGAACGCTCTGGCCAGTGTCCGAGGCAATAATGCGACACGTACGAAGAGGTTCCAGCGTGCGCCGATCCAGCATTCCGTCTCCGAATCTATCACGAGGCCATCGGGAAAACAGTAGAGCAATGGGATAAAGTCGTCGAGCGTGTACCACAGGACGTCCATTGCAGGCTCGTACAGTGCGCGACACACAAGGCCGAGGTTCATCAGCCACGCCTTGCGTGCTTTGTCCCCCTCTACGAGACACTCGGCGACGCGCTGAACGATGTCGGGAATCTCTAAGCAATGGTGCATGATCGTTGTGGGCCGTGGACTCGACGATGGTCGGGAGATGGTGACGAGCGATAAGAGGTTGAATGCCTCGTTTGAGTTATGCTGCGGGTGTTGCCGAGGGATGCTCATTCATTTCAGCATCTGCGTTGCCACATTCATAAAAGCTCACCCCATACCGCCAGCCCACCCGAGACCCCAGAGCGTAAGGATAGAAGCTCAGCGCAGACCACGGTAGCCCGAGGCGGAATATGAGCGTCATGTGACTGCATCGGGTCCTTCTCTAACGCTGAGTGCTGAAGAACGACACAAGCCTACAATAAATTGCGACCAGCATTACGCCTCCCACGCCTCTACTAACCGTCGGGAAGGGCGTTCCACCCGTTGAGAATGAGCTGAGCACTGCAGACGGACAAGACGCTAGCCGATGTAGCATCTACACCTGCCGCCATCTCCTGTGCACTCACGCTCGCCCCCGGCATTCTTCAGCAGCTCGCGGTAGTTCCGCAGCGGCAGCGACGACAACGATCATGGCGACGTCGGTCTGAACATCACCGGACGGAGACGTGGCCGGAGAAACGAGAGGTGTAGTTCTATGCGCGGCCTTTATAGATGTACCGTTTTCGTCTGGAATTTGCACACTTGTGGACGTGTAGTACCGCTGCACCTGGACGGCTGAGTGCACGCGCAAACATCGGCATTTGGAGCGGCCAGGGGAGCCGGTAGCGCGAGGGTGGGCCGCAAGAAGTTGAGCTTCTGGATCACAGCTAGCGCCGATTGGGGAGATGAGATATAGTTCATTGGCGCATAGAACGCCCTGAGACAGCTGGTACTGGATCGAGCCAGTAGAGAATGGAAGAGGAAGCGAACACGACCCGTCGCATCGCTGCCGCTGTTCAAAGCCTATGCGTAGCGCATTGGGCGGGTGCTTGCGAACAAGGAGTGGATGGAGCTATTGCGTGTCGAACATGGGATCAGAGTTGACCTGGCGAAGAGCGTGTGGACGATTGCGGCCAAGCTCTTGACGTGCCAGGCTCTTGTTGGAAGTGCGTTGGTGCTGGACGAAAAGTTCCGCCTGCGAACGGCGTTCAAGGACGGCCTTTCTGCGTAGTGCGGCGATCTGACCAATGGTCGCACCAAAAGAATTTAAACATGATGAAGAGATAGATCGGATATGTTGTATATGACAGTAGCACTGCTCAAAGTCCTGAGACAGATTATGTATGCTCAGCTGCTATGAAGCGGTGTAGAGAAATTATGGAACGCACAGTGAGCAAGCTCAAGCTCAAGCTCAAGGCTCGGCCCCTGACCGTAAGCCGTATGGCTCCCTGTGCTAACGCTATCCTTCGAGCGAGGACTTACTGGCGAGGGTGCTTGACTCGGCTGACGGGTGTACTTAACTCGATGAAGGAGGAAGCGAGCAAAGTTGTCGTGTTTAGCGCCAGCGTTCAAACGCGTCTCAGCATTTATATTGCTGTGGTAGCGCGATTTTTTCTTGACAATTAGTCGAAAGCCGGTTGACTAAGGGCCAGTACCAGCGTTTCTTCAGTTCTAATGAGCGGCAAGAGCAGCTTTCCCTTACAAGA